AATTTCAGGGACTAGAGGCTCCCCATTGTTTTCTTTAATACTGGTTAAGTGTGGATGCCTCTTTGCTTCCAACAACTCTTCTCAGCAATGCTTGTTTAAGAGTCCACCAGGTAAAGTCTCTTTGAGAAACTAGAAGTGGTCTTTGGAAAGGAAGAATGCTACAACCATTGCTTTTTAATGGCAATGGTTCATCTCAATAAGTTATTTTTCTTGCAAATCTCTCAGGAGGTGATTATTTCACATCAATGTTTTTATGCATTAATTGAACTTTCCAATGAAATCATCAACATTGTGCAGCTCTGGTTGTCTTCTAGAAGTTTGACAGGCTTTAGTGCAGTTATTTACAGTATCTCTACCAATTGTCATAGCCAAATAAATTCCTGGCATGTTTGGTTAGCTGATATATACTTACTCATTTGATCTGCTTCAGTAAATGAGAGTACTGTGGTTTCTTGTTTTCTGCTTATCTAGGTATCTGTGGCACCTTTACAGCATATCAGGTTCTTACTTAGATTGGAAACCCTATAATTGCCAATCTGCATGTGTGTAACCCAGCGATTGCTAGTGGTTTGCAGTTTTAGGGTTAGATACACAGCAATCTTTAACCATCTGTCCACACTTTTCATTACTTTACAAAGGGCATTTTTTTTCTTCAAAGAACTTCAGCTTTTATCAGGAGAAGAAAAGAAAAGAATGATGACTTGGGATTACAGGTGTCCTGTGGCAGTTCTGTGTTGGTCAAACCGATGAAGTAACAGATTCAAATCAGGAACAAACAAGTCAAATAACAATGAAACCAAGATTACAGTCCAGATTCAGAAATGCTGGTAGTCAGAAGAGCAGCAGAGTCAGGTTTTAAGACAAGCAACAATGACGTTGCCCAACATAACAAGATTCAATGCTGAGTGCCTTTTATCCTACAATCCCAGGTGATGCTTGTTTCATTATTTTTTCTCTCTGCTAATTTCTTAGGCCTGTGATACTCTGCTCACTCTTTCTTATGCTTCAAAGGTGGGGTATGTTTAACCCTTCTCTACCCCGTTCAAGTGTGCTTGCTTCAAGATACAGGGGAATGATTGCTTCTGTTGAAGTTTCTAGGCTGGAGAGGCTGCTGGGAGTAGCGGATATCCATCTCCTCTGCTGGCTCTTCTAGCAACTCCTTGTCTTCACTTTCGGAGCTGGCCATGGAAGGTAAGGCATTATGTCTCCTAACCTCTTGGGTTTTATTTCTCTGGCTTATGCTAGCTTATGATTTCTTAACAGTGAGCTTTATCTTATTAGGCCAAAATCAAGTAAACAGTGTAAACCCATCTATCACTTTGGCATGGTGTGTATAGACAGGGATCATTTTTGTCTTGTATGAAGCCTTCATTTCTACACGTCTTCATTGCATTTTTTATTCCAAGCTTTTAGGTTTGCTTCTGTCCATAAATGCTTTTTGGAAGTTCGCATACTTGAATTATTTCTTGATTTCATTCATTAAAGTGGTTGTTGCATGCACTACTAAATCTCCCACTCATCATTTTGTTTGACTCTGAAGGTTTTTTTTTCTGTCTACTTGATGGGAATCTGTTCTTTAGCTGTCATCACCCTCTTCCCAATATTGGTCAAGTGTTTGTTTGTTTGTTTATATATTGCATTTCTCCCAAAATGGTCCCTAGGTGACTAGAGTCCAACCATCTCAGTCCATCACTTCTGTTAGTGATCTTTTCTTTTTCTTGAGAATTATTTTCTTCAGGTAAGGAGTTGTGTCCCTGTTTCTTCAGCTATGTTTGATGTGGTGCAACATATATTCATCGGCATCATACATCTCAACAACTTGAAGCTTTCTGTCAGGATTGCTGCTTATAGTTGCCACACCTTCCTTCATTAGCTGTAGGGTTCGATTTTTCTCTTTTAGCAGTAAGTTACACATCTCTGGAATAATCATTCATAAGTTTGTTTTTTTGTGACAGTAGTGACTTGAGAAACTGCGAATCACTCCTGGTGTGAGAGAATTGGCTATCTGCAAGGACGTTGTCCAGGGGATGCCCAGATGTTTTGATGTTTTGCTATTCTTGTGGGAGGCTTCTCTAATATCCCCGCATGGGGATCTGGAGCTGATAGAGGAAGCTCATCCATGCTCTCCCTGAATTCAAACTTCCAACGTGTCGGTCTTCTGTCCTGCTGGCACAAGGGTTTAACCCACTGTGCCACTGGGGGCTCTTGTAGCTCATAAGGTTTAGAAGGGATCTGAATAGATCCACATAAGTCAGCATACACTAGCTCCTGTGGCTGCTTTGATTAATTTTCATTCTTCTTGGGAAGTAATGACAGGGTGCTCTCCACCTTTATGCAGTTGACACATATACTTCAACTTAACACATTTGCTTGTTCTCCAGTAGAGGCTTCATTCTTAAATGCTCCACCTTGGCTTACTGATTGCTATTGACACCAACGCTTTTATCTCTTAAAAGCCAGAACATTCCTGGACAGTTCTGGAATGTACAGGCCACTTGTTGCTGATATTGCAATGCTTTGAATTGGAAGGTAAAACTTCATGGCATTTTATAGAGATTTGGGTTTTCCCATCTGCCACACACACATTTCCAGCTTCTTATGAATCCTTTTTTTCTGGTAGAGTACATGCGTGATGAAGTGTCACTGTTAATTAATCAGGTCTCAATTGAACGGTTGCTCTTTATTGCTATCTAGCTTTTATATAGCCAGATACTCTTTTGCTTCAGTTGGCTTCGATCATTTTTCTTTTATTCCTTCCTTGGTTGCTTGCCAACTACTCTTATAAAAAGTAAAAACTTTCTTTTTTACTCCTTTTTATTGGTTGAGCAATAACCTTTCCAATACTATATCTGAGTTATAGTGTTAAAATCCACCACCGTCTCCTTGCTGATTGTCCTTTGGGTGGTTCACATATAATTTTTGCTTTCTATTTATTCGCTTATAACTGTTTAGTTAGGGCTAATGGGTAAGCCAACACTTGAACTTGATGGCTATCTGATTCCTGTTTCATGAGTCTTAGCAATTATTCAGTCCAGTGTTTTCAATCTTTTTTTTGTTTTTGTTTTGGTAAGAAGGGAGAAAAGGGCTTAACTACTTAGATCTTAGATCTAAGGAAAGGTGACAGGGGAAGAAGTTGCAGGATTATCTAATGCATCACTTTATGGAAACATTGATGCCTCTTTGTATGTAACATACCAAATGATTCAGGTCTATCAGGGAGGGCCCTGCTGTGTACCTCACCATAAAAATAAATACATTGTGCTACGAAGTGGAATAACACTTTTACTTCTGTGGTACCCCAGTTGTAGAATATTCTCCCCTTAAAATCCATGTTGGCACCATTCTGATGCTATGTTTGACTAAGCAGAAACCAGCCATTTTCTATTTATGCAGCTAAAAATCACTCTTTTCTATGAAGAATACCAAAGGGTAACTGAATTCTTACTCCCTACATAATGCTGGTGTTACATGACAAAAAGAGTAGAAGTATCTATTATAAAATTATACAATTGCACAATCATTATTGGAGAAGAGAAATTATTATAACCGAAGTCAGCATGGTGTGGTGGGTTTGAGTGTTGGACTAGGAGTCTCTAATAACAGGGTTCAAATACCCACTCAGCCTTGAAAACCAATCAGTGACCCTTTGCAACTGACAGTGCATTCTATCACCCTTGGAAAAAATGGAATAGCAAATCCCCTGTGAACAAAATTGGCCACAAAAACCCTGTGATAGGATTCCCTTAGGGTTCCCATAAGTTAGAAATTACTTGAAGGCACAACAGCGACAGCACCAACAATAATCGGTCCCATGTTCTTGTAAGTAATTCAGTTATAATGGCTTGATGACTCATTCTTGTGGAACAGATGCTTTGAAACAAGTATGAAATTAGTACAAGCTTGAATCTCAACTTAATATGAAATGGTTGGTTCATTTTTAAAGTATGATTCTCATCTGAGAAGATCCTTGTTGCACACTTCTTTCCTTCATTAACCTGAACTCCAATTTTTTTGCTTATTGTAGTATTACCTTGAACAATCTTATTTGTCTACTTTTCACAGTTCTAAATCCTTTTGCATTGACATGTACAAAGAACCCTCATTGTCCCCTCCCAAATCTGCCTCTTTGAAGCTGCCATTAAATATTCAGCATTTTGGCCAGAAAGTGTGAAAACTAAATTCCCACGGCATCTTTAGTCTAGCTCCTTTTTTAAAAAGTGATGCTTTCAAGGGTATGCAGCTACTTACATTTAAGGTTTCAGTCTCTCCATAGCTAATGGGTTTTGATGAATGTCTTTTTTGACAATTGGATCTATTTTCCCAATAGAAAAGTTCAGCAATTACTTCTTTTTCCCTAAAGGGACATGACAGTGACAGCCAGGATATAATGAAGTGACCTTAGGAAAATCTTTGATCCATCTTCAGCCTTTTTTAAATCTTTCAAAATCCATTTTCTGTTAAGCCATTTTACACATTTTCTGCAATAAACACAAGCAGAAATGTCTGAGGCACCAGCGAGAGGCTAAGAATTTGCTTGTGACTAAAAATATTCAATCTTTGTTCACATACCTAAAATCATGTAATATCTTTTTTCAAATCTGTTAGTACTACACTGATGTCAATGTATGATCAGGTCTATTAGTACATTACTGATATTAAAAATGTACCTGTAAAATTTGGACACAAGCCTGCTGGGATTCTTAGAAAAATGAACTAGCTTTGAATGATTATTTGGGGACGATTGCGGGTTCTCGGTCATTTTATAAAGCAAGTCAGTATACGATATACTGATATAAGCAGAAATGCAAAACAAATGGTGCAGACATCTTCAGAGTTCATGCACATGTTTTTAATGTCCATGAAAACATATACAAGTTGAAGTTGTCCATAATACAGTAAATCTCTGCTCTGCAGCAATTCATCTTTAAAAGACTGCACACTTCCATACCTTACCTTTTATGGCAATTCAGACCTAAGCTAAAAGTCCCATCTCAGGAATCAGTGCAAGGGAGTTCTGTGAGAAGACGTTTTATAGCTGTGCATTTATCTGGCTCCTACCACGGAATTCACTTTCAGTAATCAAGAACTGCCTCAAAATTCATGAACTTAAGACTTTCTGAGCACTTTCTAAACTTTCAAGTTCCCCAAAGATTGTAAGTATTGCTTGTGAAAAGTTTGTTTCCTCTCAGCAGTGCACGGTAATAGTGATTTTATATGTACAGGATAAATAGTTCTAAATTTGTTGCAGAGGGGTGTTCTTTCTTTCTTTTTCCCCCTTTTCTCTCGATTTCAGAAGCATTGTAGGCTTTTCCTATCTGAAGTGATAAGGAAGAATAGGAAAAGAAATGTTTCCTTCTTCTAATGTAAAAACTCTATAAAATGGAATAAATACATTTAATAATTTAGCATCCATGGTGTTAACCTCTTCTGAATTACACAATGGGTGACCAGAACCACTGTAAGAGATTTTGCTCTAGTTTCATTTAATGACCCTCTTTTGCTTCAGCTGCAGTCTTCTAAAGGGACCGAGTGTATCTCATATTCACATTCCTATTTTCATTTTTCAGCAAGTTATGTAGAAGTTATTTTAAGATACAAATGAATTTGGAGAAGCCCTGTATCAAGATGACAGAAAAGAGAGATATCCAGTCTGCCAAACTTTGTGACAGGCAAGCATACACTTCAGCCCTTTTCAGAGAACCGCAAGCAAAAAAAAAAAGTGGACAACTATAGTAGAAATTATACTAGAATTCAACAGCCTTCTCAAATAATACTTTTTTCCTAGTTTTCACACCATGTCTTCCTTCTTCTTTTTTGGTTATTTGAGGACCAAATCTATTCACCTCACATTAGAGCCTGTAAATATTGCAACCACAAAACAATTTATTAAACGGTGAGTTTTGAGGAGTTGTGTTTAGAGACTGGCTTCAGATAAAGTGCAACCATTCTGGAAAAGTATGCTGCTCCCAGCTTGCATTTCTCACTGTCTATATTTTTACTCCTTAGTAACAACCCATATAGTTCTACCGCCAAGGATGTTATTATTTTTTAATTTTATCAATAAAATTTGCCTTTTCAAAGAGCCTTTCATGACTCCAGAATAATCTTTGCACAGTTGTACCACAGCTTTGGACCAAGGCTCAGCTGGGACCTGCGGCTGATTGATCAACTCTGAAATATAGTAGGAGCTGCAACAAAACGTTGAATTTATGTATGCTTCTGTGATGTTCTCTTTCATTCCTATTCCTTTGATCACATTTTGTATTTCCTGTCTTCTTCCAAACATTTAGGATTCCATTAGTCACAAACCACTTTAAGTCTTCACTGGGATTTTTAGAAAAAGATTACCCCTCTCCTGAGTTTTGTCTCAAGCTAATTTTTTTTGGTTTAACTTTGTGGGAGGGGGAATCAGAACTCTTACAAACCTTGGTGTTCAAGGCCCACTATTACCTTTCACGTGTGGATGGTTGCATGTTTGTTACAAAAATATCAGCATTCAATTCAGAAAACTGGCTTTGGTTTTGCCATACATGAAATATTTCTGAGTAACCTGAGATAATGTTCTGAACAAATGAACTGCAGTTATTCAAATTACTAATGAAATCCTGATTGTTTGGAAGAAGAGAGGAAACAGAAAGCAAGGGCAAGGGAGCATGCATGAGTGTTTTTATATGCAAATTCCCTGGATTGATAGCTCCATTATTCCTACTACTATGTTCCAGACTTTGGTCCTCTTCACACAGGACATTATTGTCACATTTCACCATTTTTATGTGCGGCAAGGACAGGGCCCGTCATGCATCATCACATGACAGGCCCGGCCCACATTCCTCCCACAGTTAAGGGGAAGCATAGAAAGGCACTTTCTTCTTCACTATGGGGAGGAAAGTGTCATTTGGGTTGCTCTTTCCTCCCCTTTTTGCTGTGGGATGGCAGAAAGGGTGGTGGGCCAACATGGGTTGCCACCCTTTCTGCCATCTGATGGGGAGAGGGAAAGAATGCCAAATCCACCTCTCCCATCTCCACTATGTGAGGAGGGGAGGAGGGAGGGTGTGCAGGATGCAACAAGCCACCCCACACACCTTTCCTTTTGCCAACACATCATTCCTTTTGCTGTTACAATGGCATGGCCTAAAAGGGCCATGTGAGGAGGTCCTTTATACTATTTCTTTATAGTAACTACGCTTTGAGACAACCAGCATGAACTAATGCCTGGACTTGGAACATACAGACACCTAATTTCAAATCCCTGCATGATCATGGAATTTATCATGTGATCCTGGACTTTTTAAACCTCAAATCGACCTTACTGATTTTTTTGAGAGATGAACTGCAAGGCAGGAACCACGTAAAGTGGTCTTGTGCATTACAAGTGGGATGATAATAATACTGATATTATGCAGCAAACATGAACTTCTAGTGCTGTTCTTGTCAGATCAATGTAATGTGTGGCTATCAGTTTTTGTTTCTGCATTTTTCAGAGGACCAAAAGTTACTGATCCATGCTAATATCGCAGAAGGCTCTGTGACCAACTCTCTGATTCATAGATAAAAGTAAGGACAAAGTAAGAAACTGCAGTCCCTTCCCTTGCACTGTGCCTAAACTTGTACTTGCTTTTTGCATCTTGTACCCTTTTCACTGTAATTCTCACCCTCTCTTTCCTCATCCTCATGCTGTCTCAATTCCTGCCTCCCTTCCTCCTCAGCTAAGCATTCTTCCCCCCTTGCCTTTGTCATCCTCCTCTCCCATTTTGCATCCAAGCATATGAATTGCCCACTCCTTCCTCCCATGAGGCCACAGCCAACTACAGCTGTTCCTACCTTCCCCCTTCCTCTCAGCTTACTCTGCCTTGCTCCCTGTCGTGCTTACTTTCCCTGCACTTCCCCTTGTTTCTTGTACTTTATTGCTTGCTTCTACAGACTTCCCTTCCCCCTCAGTTTGTGCTGCTGCACATATTTGCTGCACCTCTTAATCCCTCCTTTCCCCTAGCTTGCCTTTCCTTGTTCATATGCCCCCTTTTAGCCACAACACCTCCATCTTTTCTCTTTTTGTATTCCATGATTTGCACTACCCACACTCCCTTCTGTCTTTCCTCACCTTCTGTCATCTTTCAACACTCCTTTGCACCTTCCCTCACCTTATGTCTCCCTCTCATGCTACTTCTACCTAGCAACCCCCCCCCCCACCACCACCACCTTGCAAAGGCTCAGTTCCCACAAGAACAAAAGACTTTGGGGTTGTTGGCTTTTTAAAATGAAAACCACCTTCTGTCATTTAATGTCTGCATCTCTAGCTTTTTCTAGTTGGCAATCTTCCCCACCCCTAAAACCAGCACTATCATGGGCTAAAACTTGGGGGGGGGGTTGTTTATTAAATGGGAGCTTGGGGTGCATGTCAAAGGATGGTTCAAACAAGCATGAGATGGCATGCATACAATATGGGTAAAATTCAGGCAACTGAATCAGATGGTGAACTCTTCCATAAGCTTCCTGTGAATCATGTAGTTTTACAAGTAATTTTATCCACTAGAATAGGTGGACACCCTGCCTTTTCTCATGCTACATGCTTCCTCTACCTGTCAGTATATTTTGTATTAATGAAGACCACTGCTAATGTAACTCTCAGGACAGCACTCCTCCTTTGTCCCCAGACCAGCAATTCTACATTTATCCAGAGACCTAAGTCTTAGTAGTGATACATACATATTGCAGATTTTCTCATCTACAACATCAACACGTCCCATCAAAAAATGACAATCACTGTGATATGTGTCATCCTCCAGAGAGAATGAAAATATCAACTCATTTTTTATTGGATATTATGCAAAAAAAAAAATATTCAGGAGCCATGTGTTCCATGCAAATAATTTTTAGAAAAATTGAACTCACCTCCCCACAAAAAACCCTCAGAATGTAAGAAAGCACCGAAGTTGTGCAAACCCCTTGTCCTTTCTCATTATCTCTGTTTTGTGTTCTTATTCTCCATTCATTCCATTTCTTTCTACCTGATGTTTTAGTGTTTGACTCCTGCTGATATCTCTGACCCATAAACCTCCTTTTTCTGACATCTTGACCCAACCAAGGGCTGCAGACCCTTGTTCTGGCCCTGTTAAAAGATACTCAATTTACAAAGTAGGATAGAAGAGATTTGTGAACCCCACAGCATGTAGCGAAGTCTGAATTATTCAAGACAGGAAACTGGTGGGTTTTTTTTAGAGAAGCACTAATGGCTGGAAATGAACCAAGCATGCATTTAAATTGGGTTTTCTTTTTAAAGCACAGAGAACATTTGCTTATCATCGTATATGATTATACTAGGATAATTAATTACATCATTGCTCTAGTTGTGGTTTTTGTATATATTACTTTAGTTTGTCTTTGATTTTTGTGTTTTAAAAGAACGTTTATTACACTTGCTGAACAGTTCTTCAGATGAGTAAGGTCACAGAGCTAATAAATAAGGCCAAGACCCTTGTGAACAAGCCTGGCATGTAGGAAATAGTGAGCAAGATTAAAGTAAGACAAAAGATTTAAGAATCTATTTTTTAAAGAAAGGAAAAGTAAAGACAGAATTAAAGCCTTCTGCCTGAACTATGGGCAATTACATGAGTTGTTGTCCTGTGTGAACTCTCTTCTTCCCAAGGTTTTTTTTTTTTAGAATTTAGAACAAATATATGGCAAGATTTTGTTTTGTACTCAAAGCAGCATTAGGAAAGCAGTTAAGAGTGATCTATTTATAGAGGGACTGCTGGACTCTGCATTGTTCTTCCCATTCTCTGTCACTTAAGGTTGATGTCTGGAACAGACCTTGCTGCCCTTCCCAGCTAACACCTGAAATGGCAAATTTAGAGATGAGCAGTAAATTCATTTTCCCCCATATTTTGACTGAAGGTCATTTGTTCCTTGAAAGAGGAAAATGCGATTTGTTCCATAACCAAAAATGTAACCAGAAAGAGCTCCTCCTAGAGCACCACAAGTAATGAGTCTTCAATGGGCAAAAAATACAGCTAGATCCCAATGATGAAAAAAATCAAGAAAAAATGCAAAGGTTATTTATCACCATCCCCAAATTAACCCATTGGAATAATTTCTTCTCTCGGAAGATGCCAGCCACAAATACAGGTGAAACATCAAGAAAAAATGTTGCTAGAACCTATCGCCGTACAGCCTAGAAACCACACGACCCTCCACTGAATGATGCTATGTTATTTTTTCCTCTCTTATTTTTTAGTCCTCAGTTCTAATAAGCAGTGCCTTCTCGTGCCATTTGAAACAGCTTATGATATGTATGCAGTTAAATAGTAATCTGAGGAGTGAAAGGCTACATTTATATTAATGGTCTTGACATTTACAAGTCAACTAATAATAAATTATGTTCCAGCAGATGACAAAATGTTGTATTAGATCTTGAGAGCTGCAAGTACAAACCTTCAGCAATAGGAAGGCTTTGATCAGGGGATGTTCAGCCACTAAGTGGGTGAACCCTTTACTGCATGCAAACATAATGCAAAAAATCAATTCTTTAGACTTACCACAAAACAATTATTGAGAGGGAGGAGTTATCTGGAAGCACCCCAAACCACCATGCAAGGATGTTGGGCAAAGGCCATTAAGAGCAGATAAATGGTAAGTGAGAAGATGCCATGTGGTGTTTCTTCATGCTAATCCCTCAGTCAGATCTCAATCTCCACCATAATCCAAGTTCCAAGTATGCATTTACAAGAATCTAGAACTGTCAGAATAGGGAAAGTGGACATTTTGTAGGTCTGTTGCAGGCATGTAGCCGGGGGGGGGGGGGGGGGGGGGGGGGGGGGGGGGGGGGGGGGGGGGGGCTTCAGCCCCCCCCCCCTGAAATTTTCATGGTGGTTTGCGAAAAGGCCTTAATGGTGCATTATTTAAACTGTTATGTTTAAATGATACAAAAGGTTTGCTAGGCTAGACCCTCTTTTACTCAGACTCAGCCCCCCCAAAACTCATCCCCCCCGAAACCCCCCCTGAAAAAAAATTCACCCCCCCCCCCCCGAAACGAAATCCTGGCTACGGGCCTGGTCTGTTGGAATGGTTTTCCCCACTTATCTCCACCTCCATTGTTTCTCCACATCTATTTGTCTTGCCAAATTTGGCTTTTCATTTCAAAACCAAACATGAACAGCAGATTTCCTTTATATATATGTATAGTGTAGATGCCTGTCTCTTGCAGTTAGCCATTCACTCCAGATTAAACAGAATCCATTTTCCAAAGTAAATAGTTCCTTCACTAAAAAAAAAAAAATCTTATTTGCTGAACTAGCTATTTGTCAGTATGGCATGAAAAAATCCTTTCTATTTAAATATTTCCTGAGGGGAATACATGAATTGTTGACTATAGATTGTAGAGCCATTGTATATTGAATTTTTAGACTGTTGTTTTCCTACGTATTTGGGGGCTTTGTAATAGGATGGTTAGGAGAAGTTTTTGTGGAATTTCCAGAAAACTAGAGTGCATACTGATAGTTGGCCCAGTTTATCTCTATGTTTTCAAAACTTACCATATGGTGCAACCCTGCCCCCCTCCATTTTAAGTAATTATAAACCCACTAGGTAAAGGTAGAGGTTTTCCCCTGACATTAAGTCCAGTTGTGTCCGACTCTGGGGGCTAGTGCTCATCTCCATTTCTAAGCCAAAGAGCCGATGTTGTCTGTAGACACCTCCAAGGTCATGTGACTCACATGACTGCATGGAGCACCATTACCTTCCTGCCTGAGTGGTACCTATTGATCTACTCACATTTGCATGTTTTCGAACTGCTAGGTTGGCAAAAGCTGGGGCTGACAGCGGGAGCTCACTCCACTCCCCGGATTCGAACCTGTGACCTTTCAGTCAACAAGTTTGGCAGTTCAGTGGTTTAACCCACTGCGCCACCGGGGGGCTCTACAATATAAACCCACTACTGGAGACATAATATGGATCAAGAGTACTCCTCCTCACATATTAGGCATTTTTATCAGTAAATGTTGAGAATCCATGTCTGCAATACATAAGGTTTAACATTATCATGACCTTTTGTTCCTGGTGACATGGGGTGCTACTATTACACTCATACTAGCATGTACTGAATAGACCTGCATGGGTAGACTTGGGAGGGAGAGAGATTGTTTCCAAAAGGTACCAAATTCACCTCAACAAATTTTACAGGAATCAGAAAAAAATAATGCTAAGGAAATGCATTATTGTGCTATAAATTACAATTTGCCAAGTCCTGAACCAAAGTGATTTGATATATTTTGATACTTTTGATCTGTACATTTATTTCTGTACAAAAATCTGTACAAAAGCATTGCATGAATAAATTCGTATAAAACTGATAAAATAGAGGGAACACGAGTAGCTAAATAATTTTAGACCAAAAACGGGCAACAGCAACTGCATTGTCTGTAACTTTAAACAGTTTTTCCTCTGTGCATAAAGCAGGGAATTGTGAGCAAGCATACAGGTGCTGAGTTGTTTGTTCTGCTCCACAATCACACAAGGTGGAGGATTTTCCCAGATAGAGCTATTTTGCCAGGTGGTCTTTTGATCTGCCAACTCCACTTCTGAGTCTGCTCAGGGACTTCCAAGTTGACCATTCTTGGTTTGCCCCTGGAGGTAGACCCTCATGGAGGGGGGGGGGGCTTCCAGTTGGGATTTCCTGGTTTAGTTGCCCAGAGGGATACTCTTTCTGTTGCTGAGGAAACATTTAGAGGAGTTGTGGTTCTCATGAAAATTTTCCTTGATTTGAGTCTATTGGGAGGAGACTGATAGCCATGCAGTGGGTGGCTTTCACAGTGTTCAACCTTATTTCTCTCACATTTAGCAGCAACTTCCCATCACACATCAACGGGGGGGGGGGGGGGGTGCCTGCTAGCTTATAGAGTCTATAGAGTCTAGATGTAGGTTTGAGACATCCTGTGATTATTCTACATGTCTCGTTCGGTGCTATATTCACCTGCTTCACGTGGGCAGACTTGTGTCAAACAGAGCAGGCATACTCAGCAGTGGAGTAAGACAAGGCCAGGGCTGATGTTCTTATTCATTTTTGTTTGTACCCCATGTGCTACCAGTAAATTTCCACAGGATGTTATTGCATGCAGCTACTTTGTGCTTGGTGTTCATACAGTGTTGACTAAATGTTACTGTTCGATCTAAGGTGATGCCAAGATATTTAAAATGGGAACAATGTTCAAGCTCTTGGCCTTCTCAGGTAATTTCCTGTTGGCTTCACGGTTACATAATATTATCTGTCTATAATATTCTACTACTAGCCAACAATGTACTGCCATCTATAACTAATTCTTCATTTTTTAAAAGTATATGTGGTACATAGGTGTTTGATACTGGTTTCCTTTTTTTTCTTTTTCTTTTTCTCTTTTCCTACTTTTCCTTTCAACCATGTTCACCTACTTTCACTGTAGTAGAAACCAGATATCGCAGTCATGCCAATGACTTTTTATCATTGATCAATTTGTATGGTTCTCTCTCTCTCTCTCTCTTTTAAGGTTAGGGTTTTTGTGTGTATGTACATATGTATATAAGTGTGTGTGTGTGTGTATGTGTGTGTATATATATGTGTGTGTGTGTGTGTGTGTGTGAGGGCAAATTTGATCCAAAGGCCACACAAGACATTTGATTTGAGTTTTTGAAGTCTCTGTCCCTCCTTCAGACCCCTTATCTCAACTTCTAGGTCATCTTAGATACAATGCCATCAGAGGTGGATATTGGGGTAAGCTAAGGTTTCTAGTCCATGAAGGAAACCTAGATTATCATTCACTCAGTAACTGCAGTTGTGGTTTTTCAGTGCTGCAAACATAAACATATCCACTCTAATTTACCTGAATACGTTTTTAGTTCATCTTTAATTTGAGAGGTAGCAACTAAATACAACAACAATTTGCATAAATTGGCTTTCTACTCTGAATCCAGTTGATCTCATGCTACATTGCTACAGGCAATACAAGGAATGTAGTAGAAAATTTCTACATTACTCATGCTATTTAAAAAGGCATCTTCACAGGGAACTTCACATGGAACTTTAGCCATGCTTCTTTCCATAATTTATATATTTAAGACTTCATGTTCTGATACAATCTTCCACTTATTCTCTGCTTCACAGATTCAGGAGAGAACACCTGCCTCTCAAATGTTATTCTCAAGGACTTACTGCTACACAGTTACAGGAATGTCCATCTCTGTCCAAATCTCCAGTAATCGGGCACAGCAGGTAATATCAGTTTAAAGTGAAACCTCATTCCCTCGTAAATTGCTCTTTTACTGAATGACCTTTGCAAAATTCACTTTTGCAAGTGTCTCTTATACAGTTAAGAGAAAGGTAATCAAAGATGTATCTAAAATGTTTCTGTCTGGCTAAAACTAACCTGTCCCCTAGACAGGTGGAAGTTTTTCTTCCTATTATTTTAGTATTATAGAAGTTATAATGCAACAGTACATTGATAGAAAAAGAAGAGTGTTAACACACATCTCTAACAGCAGCAAACTCTTGTGAGTTCTGGAAAGGAATTATCTTATTAACACAATCATATTCCTAAATAATCTTAAAATGATAACATAATGTCATGTATTAGATTATTGCTCTTCTTGAAAACTGTTTTGGAGATACAGTAGTTCATACTGATGAGACTTCATTTTACTTCAGGGTTTTGAGAATTTGTTGTTATTTCTATCCCACTTTTCTCCCCAGTAATGAACACAAGGCATCTTACACCAAATTACAAGCAACCAAAATTTTAAAACATATAAAAATATAAATGAAAATATGAATAGGAAAATTATTTAAAAACGAATTAAAGTTTTTGTAAAGGTTAAACTATTAAAATTAACCAAAATATTATACTGGAAAAAATCAACATAACAGCAAACTGCAAAATCAAAAGCTCATCACAATTAATTTCTAACAGTCTGATAGAATACTAGTTTTTCCTTCCTGGTAGAGGAATCAATCCTAGCCAATCTAAAGCCAAATTGCTAAACTCTGTGAGCAGCTACTAAGAAGGCCTTGTTTAAATGATTTGTAATCTAAGAAATTAAGTGCCATCTGATTTTGGTTTTTTATTTTTTTTAGTTCTCTACACATTGAAAACATGGGATTCTCAGTTTTCTTCCTTAAGCCACATATCAAACTGATTATAAGAGACATATAAAGTGATTAAAATGGATGTAAGTAAGGGAACTTACAAAGAAGGGTGTCAAATCCACAAACAGATTTTTTTAAATTCTAAAATTCTAAATGCATGCGCGCACACACACACAAATCCTTTTTTTTTCATTTACACCTGTCCAAAGTTATATGTACTGTTAAAAATTATGAATCAGTAAATGAGTGCTTCAATTAACAAGCAAGTAATGCAGAATACATTTGCCACTCATCCTGTTCGGGGGTCTAAATCCCTCTTCAAGAAGAACTTTCAGAACTCTTCTCGCCACCTAGAAGATGGGCAGGGTATTTTTGGCAGAGAATTTTGGCATTTTCAAGCATGACTTTTGCTTAAATTGCAAAAATAAACTCAACAGCACAAACACTAAACTACAACGGCTTTGTTGACAAGCATTGAATGGAGCTTTTCCATCAATCAGCCACTTTATCTCCCAAAGGGGAAAATACAGTCAGTTTGCATTCACACATCTTTGCACAAATTCAAGAAATCTCAAAAAGAAAGAAAGGAAGGAAGGAAGGAAGGAAAGGAAGACTATTTCAATGTGTCAAAAAGCCCCTCACCATGAATTATAATTTCTAAAATATTCTTCACACCTTTAATAGGATGTGCATAAATTCAGCAGCAAGCCCATAGTGAAAACAGAATCACAACACTTTCTGTGTGCTACTCTCTTCCCTGGGAGGGAGGGGGAGAGGGAGATGTAGCTCTACATGCAACACAAAAACAGCTCCCTCCTGTTCTGAAAATTATCTGAATATAGCCTTGAACAACTTAATACCAAAATCTAAAGCATGAGCTTCATATCCACAGGATATACATTCTTGGACTATGTGTGGACATGTGAAACCATGAATAATAGCTGGAAATATTTTATTTCCAAACCTTATGGAAATAAAGTATTTCTGGCTCATCAGTACTGTAGAATGATGCTGGAGGATCCAGAAAATGCCTAAATAAGACATAATTCATCAGATGTGGATAAATCGAACCATAGTACTGGTCTTGCAGATACAGGAGTCATAATGTACATGGTTTTCTTTATTTACATTTTCTTTTTAAAATTGAGCCTTTGAGAAGAATGCTTAGATTGTAACAAAACTATAAAACTGCCATCTTTGCCTAAAAAATTATCTATTGTGATTATGAGAAAATATGAGATGCAGTGAATTACAATGTGTGTAAAGTTTTTCAGTGTGCATAGAGCTAAGGGACAAGAACCTCATAAAAACTATTTTAAGAGTATCATTTTTAAAAGGCAACTCAAATGACACACTGTGTAAAATGCCCATCACAATCTTGAAAATGTAACATGCTCCAAGGCTGAGGCCATAACATGGCAGTTGTCAATAAGCTGCTCCATGTTGTTCTTGTTCTTCATTTAGGAATTAATGGTTCCCCAGAACAGGATTTGGACAGTGTTGCTGTAGTTTGCTGATTGAGTGCATAAATATCCCTAATGAACAGCTGAATAATTGATCATGCTCAATTGGCTATAAAGAAATGGATTAATAGCAAAATCAATATTCATTATTTCTCTTGACTGTTAAAGGCAATCATCAGCAAATGTCAGGGGAAACTCAGCAGTGCTAGAAATCCATATACCAGCCCTCAACAACTTGTAGCCAATCAACCTAAACAAATTGGGAGGCCGCATTGACATATCATATGTTTTTTCTGACCTCCATGAGAATAAGGCTTGTATAGTGGACTAACATTAAGCCAATATATTGTCAATGGGGGATATTAGGCACAGTTGGTGCCCAAGTTCGTAACAGAAAAAGGATGGAAAGAGGGATGGTTAAAAAACATCAGGATTTTTTTGTCATTACACATCTACTAAGATTGCTTTAAAATCATATTCAGAATGGAAAGAATGCAAAAGTTTAAAAAATCCATTTAGAAATTTAAAGGTTTAATGCTGAAGAGTCAGATTTTGAATAGTTATGTTAGGATTGCCTCCTACCCCCCACCCCCCCCCCTTGCAAGGCTCTTTATCTTTGTTATCTTCAGAGGAAGTAAATACTTCTGGTGAAGGGAACTTAATTATGTATATTCCATCTTCCAAGTTTCAGTAAAAACACATGATCCATAAAATATAAATTAAGTAAATAATACTACTGTATTTTAATATACATGAAACTGACTGTTTAAATAAGTAAGATATTTGCAATTATATTCATTTAAAGCCTCTGCTTATTACAGATGTGTCTCAAAAGATAAGACTGGCAGAAAAAGCAACAGGAAGAGAACTCGCTTACCAGTCACCAATAAGACACTCTTTCCTTCCTCACTAAGCTTCACTCTTGAAAGGATATTCATTCAGAACTAAAAGACCCAGATAGATACAGGAACATGTAGTTGTTTAGGTAGTCTGCCAAACAATGCTTTATATATCATAATCCAAATTTTGAAATGTGCTTAGAAATTGACTGCTTAGCCAGTGGAGCTGTTGTAATGTGGGAGTTTCATTCTCGTTATAAGCAGTAACTGTCAGCGGTTTGGCTGCAACATTTAAACCAGCTGCAGTTTTTGATCTTGCTTCAAAGGAAGTCCCACGTCAATCATGTTACAGCAATCTAAATGGTTTGCAACTATTATTGTGGCCATTAACATTTCTAGGAATGGACACAGATTGTTCTGGCAACCACTAAAGCCTAGCATTCTATGTACAGGACTGAATCCAGAAGGACACCCAAACTGCAAATTGGCATCTTCAGTAGAGTTGTGACACAATACAGCAGGGGTCCCCAAACGAAGGCCCATGGGCCAGATGTGGCCTTCCAAGGCCCTTGACTCAGCCCTGCCCTAACTTTAGACTGAGGCTCGCTCTATATCCAAAATGACTTAAAGGCATACAACAACAACAATAATCCTATTTAACTTGACTATCTCACCAGCCAAAAGCAGACCAACACTTCCTATTGAAATACTGGGTAGTTTATGTTGGTCAAAATTGTTCTACATTTTAAATATTGTATTGTTCTTTCATTTTTTGCACTATAAATAAAACATGTGCAGTGTGCCTAGGAATTTGTTTTTTTTTTTTTTTTGGTTTTTCAAACTATACTCCAGCCCCCCAACCGTCTGAGGGAATATGAACTGGCCCTCTGCCTAAAACGTTTGAGGACCCCTGCAATACAGCATAGGCAGAGTCACTACTCCATGATCTGCCTTTCACTGAACATTTGTACTGTCTGGATTAAGCTTCACTTTTTCTTACTGAGTCCATTACTGGCATCAACCTTGGCTTAGAAGAAAAAAGAGTTTATTGGATTTAGATTGTAGTTCAGCATCATCAGCATTTGGGAGCAGAAAAATCCAGGCAATATCTTTGAGTAATTTAATGAAATATTAAATAATGTAAGAGATGTAACAGGATCCTGATGGTCTCTCCAAAGGCCAACAGCCAGATTTGTTGAATCAAACTCTCCCAAGACAACTTTCTGATTGCATCACTATTGCAAAAACCAAGGCCAGAAGCACCAAAAGCAATTTCAATATAAAGGTAAAGCAGAAAGACAATTAAAATACAGCAATAAAGCATCCAAAAAGTTAAAACCCACGGCAATGTAAATATTGTCTTAAATGGCATAGCTCCTCCTAATTCTTAAGACAACACTTTTGCTCGCTAGAGGAAAAAAATGGAGGTAAAATAAATTTAGCTTTTCTTGGCAGAAAGTTCTGGAGTCTAAAAGTGGTGCACTGAGAAGAGAACCTCTGCATGGGACCTTAAATACAGGCAGATTTGTATGGGAGAATGCAGTTTACCAAATAGCCCTGTCACAAGTTATGAGGGCTTTATAATTGCCTTTCTCAGAAATGGAATAGTAACAAATGACTCTTTCACTGTGGCTAGATTTAACCTCTCTATAAATAGATGCAGTTTACATACCAGCTATAACTATGTCAACACACTGCTCTACACTGACAAAACCTGGGTACGAAGAAGCAGGGCTGAATCCAGTATTATCCCTGTGAAACTGAGGGATCTGTAGTTCTACCCAACACAAACTGAATCTCTATTTTATCAACCAAATATTTTTCTGCCAACTCAGATTAAACTAATTGTTCACTCTCTTCCAGTCATTACCAACACAAGATTCTAATTTAGAGCTATAACTACTTCCTTAAATCAATGTGGAAAGTTAGAGAGAGTTTGGTTTCATGAGCATATTGTAGGCACTAATCCATCAAACACTGAATTATTTCCCTGAGATTGCCCCTGAAGTCGAAAATCTGAACCATACTTTACATCACTGCAATCTACATGAAAAAGAAAGGAAACAATACTTATGGCCTTTTATTTGCAATAAAACAAGTTGGGATACAGTGGCCAAAACTTTATTTTTGTTGGCTGGTTATAATCCCATTCTGACAACAAAACATGCCCTTTATTTGTTTAAAGCTGCTAAAAGGAGATCGGAGTACATAGATCAGATTGGGGTGCAGCTTAGGGGAGATGAGGATAATTGATGCATATATCTATGGCTACCTGTATATTTGTATTTTATTTTAAGAACACTAGATGTATGTTGTATGTTATGTCTGCACTGTTTGTTTTTGATAAGGCCAATTGGCTAACCAATAAAAGTTGTTGTTGTTGTATGTTTTTTAGTTTGGGAGACAAGACAGAACCCCACGGATACTAAAAATACTTTGATACTTAACAAGGTCTCCTCAGCATCACTTTGTGAACTCACCAGTTCAGAAAGCACTACCCTGGACAGATGAGTTATTCACCCATGTAATTCTGATCCAACATCTAAACTCAATACAGAAGGAAGAGACCATGAAAATGAACAAAATCTGGCTACCAGTATTAAAAAACTCAAAAATTATAACAGCTAAACAACAGAGAGGAAAAAACCAGGCACAGATTAACACCTCCCAGCAACAGATTTTCCCAGACTCAGGCAGGCCTTCAAATGCTAATGAAGGTGATCAGCTAAACATTCACACCTAACTGCAGCAGGGAAGAGCTCCTTGCCCCACCCCAGCCATTCCACAGATATATAAGCCCATTTTTCCTACTTCCAACAGACCTTCTCAACCTCTGAGGATGCTTGCCATAGATGCAGGCGAAACGTCAGGAGAAATGCCTCTAGAACATGGCTCTATAGCCCGAAAAAACCCACAAGAACCTAGTGATTCCAGCCATGAAAGCCTTCGACAATACATCAATACAGAATCATTTTTGCAGAAGTATTCTGAACTGGGTGAAACCTTCCAAATAAGAACCAAATGCCTACTCTGTGAAGCAACAGCCTGGAGTTGAATAGCTCTTTCCTTTCATCAAAGCAGTTCATTTGGCAGGAAAAACATGTGTCTCACACAAGAATAAGAAAGGAACACTTCTACTATTGCTGAAGGACCTTGACTTGTCCTTGATACCACATGCCTTGCTCAAACAGGTGATAGGAGGCCATCTGTTCAAGCTATTGGTTCAGCTGCAAACACCTTGAAAATCATTGCAAGTAAAGATCCTCTTTAGTAAGAAAAATTTCCTTCTCCTAACCAATTGCAAAATGACCCACAGGGTGATTCTACCCAGGTTAGAAGTGGAGAACATCAATTGCCCCCAAGATTTATACCAAAGAAAAATGCTATATTTTGAATGGCTGCTTGTATTTTGTCTAACTCTCTCCTCAAAGCAGATGCAAATGACATAGTAGTGAATACATTAGCAGCTACTGGAAGACTTTCAGCACAAATACAGTCAACATTGCTATAAATAGGTTCAGTGTTTTGACGGCATGAGAATGCTGCAAAAGTACAACCCAACTGACTAGAAAGCCTTAAGTTAAGCAAAATGAATCATGTTCATCACATTAAACAATTGTCCTTCTCAAACAAATATGCCTTCCCTTTGAGGCCTGAACTCAAGTGAATGCAATTAACATGCATACATATTTTCTTCTTCTTTGGGTAATTATGTCAATAGCAGCCAGGGAAAGCCTGAATATCCTTAAGGGCTGAAGGGAGGGGGAGGGGTTAATTTATTCCTTTTCTCTCTCCCTGTCACTATTTCAACAAAAACTGCTTTTCATAAGCTCCTATTTGCATATCAAGGAAAGCTTCAGAAGACATTCATGTATTTATTGGGGGCAGTGGAAGATTGTCTTGAAATGCAAAAAAAAAAAACCCCCATTGAGGTCTTTAACTGAATCCACTCAATTAAATCATCATGCTTAAGCCTGATCTTATTGCCCTAGATCACTGAAAACATAGGAATTGTATCATTATCTCTGCCCCTACACCACCTTGGGATCGTTTTGTTCTCAATTGATCTGTATCTAGGAATGATGTAGTGCTTTTCCCACAAGGACACTTGTGTGTTTCAAGTGAGAGATAGGATAAGCAAAAAGAGCAGTAAAACTTAATCACTACATCTTTTAAAATAAAAGCATAATATCGGAAAAGTTTTTAGGAAGAATCACCTCCACATTTAATGTTTTTACCCTGAACAAGTCGAGTGCTTAGACTCTTATTCTAAAAGAGCTAAATCAAATGCCCTGATTTGTGAAGCCTTATGAAGCATCCCTGAAAGAAAGGTGAACTGCTGACTAGTACAATTCAAGAAATACCAGCATGCATTTCCTCGGGTTGACAGACCTCTTATAAAGAAAATGGGGGGAATAACTAGAAAAAGACATGGAGGTCTGACTTGATTTTTAATCTTATCCTCAAAGATATGCATTAATCCAATTGATTGGTATTTTATGTCACAAGCTATAACATTTATTTTGGAATTTTACCCACTTGGAAAATAAGTTTACATAGCAGGATAGCAAAAGTGTGCCCCTGAAGGTGTCGGATCACAACCGCTAGCAGTTTTAACCCACTTAGCCAGTGGTGAAAAATATTAGGCATTTCTGTCTTGCAATATCTGGAGGGCTACTTTTTGCCCTCCCTGGCTTATTGGATTTAGAAAATATTTATAGAATTCCTAATCAAATTCTGCAATGTTCCCAGCATGGAGATAGCTTCACAGTTGTGTTGAATTATCATAGTAGTAAACCATATGACTTCTTGTTTATTTTACACAGAGATAAAGGCTATAGAATCCACCATAACACACCATGTTGAGCAAAAAGCTGGTGACAGCGCAGAAACGAGGGGAGACCAGGGCACTGTTCCTGGGTTTAGGAATGGTGGCATGCTCAGTCATTATGTATTTCTTTATTGGGATCACAATTGTTCCTTCATACAAAAGAAGGTAAGTGAGCCGATGCCACTCAAGCCAGCTGTCTTAAGTGTCTGCATGTTGCCAAAGATAAATCTGGTCAATAAAGCCTTTTCAGGACAGCTATTCTATTGCTCTGCAAAAGCACTTAAGTCAGTGGGTTCATCCGTAACTGACCTTCATTACAAAATATACTGAATAAAATGTCTGTCTGCAAGAGTTAGAACTCACATTCTTTGAACAGAAAGAACTTTGATCTCTGGAGCAGAAAAAAAAATTAATGTATCCCCATTTGCACTTGTGGTTAAGATATCAACAGGCAGAGTAATCTGCATTATCACAGCAATAAATTTTCCAAAAAGCCAGAGTCTGCTAAGAAATGTTGAATATATCTGGTGAGCTATGTATGCTTTGGAAAAATAACTATCCACTTAAAAATTAAGATGAAATCTGTTATTTCATATAAGATTTATCCTTCTCTTTCAAATATTAACACTATTTCCATAGATACTACAAAAACATATATTCTCCCTGTTTGCAAAAAAATACTTATTCTGAGGGGAAAATACCACTGTAATAAAAGCAGCTAGCTCCATAAACAACAAGAATTGTCTTTAGTAAAGAATGCCAGAAACAAATGACAATGTGTGGCAAGTAAATGAAAACTACTGATACTCATTCATGCAGATAGGCCTGTTAAAGACCAGAGATACACACAAAGCATATGCATATTTGATTATTCCAGTTCAGCTAAGATCATTACTTTCAGTATTTTTAAGAACATTAGTCTTAAACAGCAGGTTATAGAAAAGCAAACCTGCACTGAAATACGAGCTCTACAAAATTTCATATCTAATTGAGATAATCATACCCCATGTCTCACTGCCCACAGAAGAACTCCTACATTTGAGCAACGTGCATCTTCAGCTTTGTATAATGACTGCTTTCTGGACTTACACCACATTTACACACCAACAGGCTGTCCCAAGACTTTTTGTTACTTTAGGCAAAATTGTACTGGCAAAATTGTGTCTCTCCACCTATATATGTAAAGAAGCTGTCCAAAATAAGAGAGACATCTTGCTTAAGTAGCATAAGTAGGACATGGATGTCTTCCCACACCCAATTACAGAAAAGCACTTAATGTTCCTCTTCAATCATTGCTTTTTCATCTCAGTCTACCATCTGAGTTTGCCTACAGGAAGGGCTACGTCTTCACACTGCACAGCCATCATTTTTTCAGTTCACATGTATTCAAAACTTACCTGTATTTTTATATTTACCAAAAAAAAAAAACCCTACAGGCCTGCGATGAACACTCCTTCAAATATAGCTGCTGTTTTAAAATATATTTTAGGGTGCTGTATTCAGAAAAATACAGTTCTTTCACAATTTTCATTATTAATTTCAGAACTAATTTCGTTCAGTCACATTTTATAAAACATCAAAGAAAGTTGTGAAAAAAACTTTGTGATGGGACAAAACTGAGGTCATTTTTTGGATTTGGAACACCAAATGCTTATCATACCAGCATACATTTGTAAAGACTCTCCATTTTGCAAGCCTGTTAGCATCATGTAACTTTCGATTTCAGCCATTCAGATATTACAACACCTTCTGATGCAAAATAGAACAACTGCAAGATTAACTGAACCCAAATCTGTTTCTTCAACAAGTATCACGTCCATGGCCTACTTTTATGCACATCAAAACTATCATTTTTCCAGGTGTTTAAACTGCCTATAATTCATGAGCTCCAGTGAGCAGATTGGCACACACCAGGCATGTAGCCGGGGGGGGGGGGGGGGGGCTTGAGGGGCTTCAGCCCCCCCCCCCGAAATTCTAATGGTGGTTCGTGAAAAGGCCTTACTGGTGCATTATTTAAACTGTTATGTTTATTCATATCATGATCTGATCACCATACTCAATATATCCCATATGCATGGGGGTATTGGGGTAATGATACAAAAGGTTTGCTAGGGTAGACCCTCTTTCACTCAGACTCACCCCCCGAAACTCACCCCCCCGAAACCCCCCCTGAAAAAAATTCAGCCCCCCTCGAAATGAAATCCTGGCTACGGGCCTGGAACACACCCAACCTCTAAATTTTGAGGAAAAGTCCTGTGCCCCATCTCAAGATGGCTTTCTTTTCTCCATTCTTGCTTTCTCAGTTTCTACCCAGTTCTAGTGGTAGAAGAATTTCAGATTCAAATTGTTTATAATGTTATCATTTAATATATATACACACTCACATAATTTATCAAAGTTAAGTCCTGGTTTCTTTAATTTGTTTTTGTTTAGTTCCAGAAGGTACATTTCAACCCTACATTTCAACTCTATGTCACTTCATTTTGCCATACAAAATGTCAGCAATATGAGAAACAAGTGAAGTACTTTAATACTTAAATAGGATAAAATCATAGATGAATGTACTTTGATTACGTATCCCTGCATGGCAAGGGGGTTGGGCTAGATGGCCCTTGTGACCAAATGTATGATTCTATGAATCCTGGAAAACAGTGGTCCATGTAATTAACAAGTAGATGGGGCATTTCTTCTTTGTTTTTGCAGTGTCTGGACAAACGAGAGCATGTGCAAACTAATAAAGGCTACCACCATGGAAAAAGTCCACTGCTTGTACAATGAAGGTTCTGGCGATGAGAACATTTTTCGCTATCCTTGTCTGCAAGTCCAAGTCAATTTGACGCTGTTAGGACAAGTGGTAAAGCTCTATCACACAGAGGACACAGTGGACAGAAATCCCAAGGTTTGAATTATATTTATCAGAAACATTTTGGATGTTAAATTGCAGATTTCCATATATATTGCATTTTTTTTTCAACCTCATGTGTTGTTACTTTCAGTGGCTTACAGTAATTCATAGTGTAGCAAGACATCAATCTATTTATATTGCAAATATAAACTCCCTAGACAAATGAACAAACAAGCAAATTGCTTAAAGAAGCTTCAACAATTGTTTCAAGGCCATGAGTAGTTGCCTAGCCCACACATTCTTTCTCAAGCATGCAAAGATAATTAGGAAGAAGGATGATTACATAGGTACTAATTCATGCTAGGATTACTTGTCTTAAATAACTATTTTTCAGTTTTCTGTCTGCACTGGGCTGTTGCTTTTTAATAAAACATTGTTACCACATTTAGGAGACAGGTTACCTTTCCTCCCCCACAAATTGAATAAAATGTTGCAGTTGGTTTATTGATTCTAAAGTGAAATCAGACCCACGGGGCAAAACATCTTATTTTGAAGTATTTGTCATCTAATAAACTTGACAAGTTGTAAACATTTTATTACAGCCTAATCTCGGGCAAACACAAACATTGGACACCCTTCATCCCCCGACAGCCATAATACTGTGATACTGTTGAATCACATTTTCCTGAATTTCTGAAACATTTCACATAGAACATTTTAATAGATAAAACCTCTCACGCCTCCCATCCACACCACATAATTATAGCAGTTTGACACCACTTTAACCGCCATAGCTTCTCCTATGGAATCCTGAATTTGTATTTTGTTCTAGAACCACACCTCTGACAAATGAGGGTAGATATCTCACAAAACTACAAATCCCAGAATTCCATAGCATTAATGCAGTGTCAAGCTGTTGTAATTCTGCAGCATAGACACAGTCTCAGTTGCCCAGAAATGTAATTGATAATCACTAGTTTCAGAAGAACATCACTCTGATCTGTCTGATACTGTATATTCATTCCATATCAAAAGTTACTTTAACATGTAAATGTTTATAAAATACTATGCTGTTATAGTGCTATTAGTCTACTTTCACTTACTCCCCTTCCTTTACTTTTCCTGGAAGTTCCACTTGCGCACACCCAGCAAACAGCAGAAACTACATTGATGCTACATTGGTAAAGCAGTATTTGCATGTTTGCACATAAGCAATTCCTACTATATCCATCATGGCTTACTTTTTAAGAAGCATGCTTAGAATTGTTGATGACAATAAAATCCTATCTATAGAGTACAACCCTATGCCTATTTACCTGGGAGCAACCCCCACTGAAAAGAGTTCGGTGCAGTTCAATAGGGTTTATTACCAGATAATTGGGTAAAACACCTATGCCACACCTCTGCATGTTGTGGCCCTCCAGCTGTTCCTTCAATCATCCCACACAATTGGTTACTCTTCTGTCTGAGAACTTATTGGAGTTAAAGTCCATAATCACCTGGGAGGCTACATGTTCTTCATTCTGGTTGATAAGAAATATAAAGGATTTTTATATATATAAAGCAAATCCAAACTTTAGTAAAATAATATAGTTGATTTCACCATTTTGTTTTACTATGCTATTTATATTTATTTATTTATTTGCTGATTTATATACTGCTTTTCTTACTCTGAGGGGACTCAAGGCAGTTTCCAACATAAAAATTCAATGCCATACATATATGTGAAAACCAAAATATAATTAGTAGGCAATAACATATGCTATAAATAAGAACCTTAATCATATTACACATATCCGCATAAAACAACATATACATTAAAATCACGTCATTAAAATATAAAAATCACACAATCTGTGCACATAAGTCAGGAGCCATTCCAATGTTATCTGTAATTTATATCATGGAACTTGAGCATCCATGGTTTTTGGTATCCATAGGGGATCCAGAGATCAACCCTTGCCTTATATCAAGGACACACTATGTAGCACATACAAAGCCAGTAATAACGCAATGCTGTAATTTGAAAATAGGGAGATGGAGAACCTAAATTCAAACTAGATGTGCATATTACAATTCAGAAATACTTTTTTGAATGTTCAAAAATTAAATGTTGTTCCATCATTCTAATGTTTGCAAGCATTACAAAATCATAATTTATTAAGGGTTGGAGAATTAAGGAGCTAATTTGTCTCTCTATGCAAATGCATTCATATTGGACTAATTTATAATCAAATTTATTTATTTGCTTACATTTACTAAGAATGTCTTCAAAATACATATTATTATGGAAACAGTTATGATGGATTATTTGTTTTCACAGTGCTTCTATGTCCCTCCAAATATGGAGAATTACAGCGAAGTTGAAAAGCTAGTGAAAACAATAACAGACAATTTCAGAAAGCACCAAACATTTTCTTGTTACTATGACCCATCAAGAAAAGAAGAGAGTGCCATCTTAAAGAGATCATATCCTCCAGAAGGCCTTATCCTTGCTTTCGTTTGGCCAAGTTTGATGTTATTTGGTGGAGTCTTGATCATCATCATGGTGAAAATAAGTCAATATATTTCTGTACTCTCAGCATCTCAATATAGAGCAAGTATATAAAATGTACTGAAAGCAACCTATGCTTTATGTTCATATCTGTTTACAGGGAAACTAGGAGCCTTTCTCAAATGTATACATAGTGGATTAACAAGATCAGACTGTGAAAAGGAAAAACAGAGAACACCCACAGCTAGATGTTATCTAAATATTTCGTTAGACAAATTGTATTTTTTTTTCTCATCTGCAGAATTGCCAAGACATTTCTTATCCACTCATCTGCTTTCTCTCAAAATATTATGTAAACATTTGATCTCAACCCAGGGCAAATGTTATAAATGCTTGAAATAGAAATCACAGCTATTTTAATTACCATTATCAGCTATCAATAATGATCAATTAACAGTTACTTTGGAATTCACTTTATGTTTCAAAACTAATTTGTATTGTAGCATCCTTGAGAGCCCAAGGGAAAAGAAGTTGCAGCGTAAGATTTTGTAGACCTTTGACTTCCTCACACTTGAGCATTTTTCCATTTTAATCCACTTTAAATGTTGTGACTGTCTCCTGCGGAATTCTGGCATTTGTAGTTTAGGGAGAGGCCTTTAGACTGCTCATCCAGGAAAGCCCTGGGCCTCCCTAAACTACAAGTCCCAGAATTCTGCAGGAGGCAGTTCACAGCATTTAAAGTGGATTAAAGTGGGAAAATGCTCAAATGTGATAACGCCCTGAGTCTATCATCAGATGGATGAAGTCCCTCAAGAAATCCACATATACCTCAGCAGGTCTGCATGGAAATAGTAATAAGAAATGCAAATCCTGTGGGTATGGTGATGAGGTGCAATTAATGTTGTTGTAGGACAAAGACAGGATGGAAGAAAGCCCTCATGATATGAGTAGAGTGCCAGGAATCCCTTGTTTCTGTTCAACCCACTGTGGATGGACTGGAGTTTGTGGTTGTATCAAAATTCTTCTGTTTCTCCTTCAAATCTCCCTTTCAAGTTATTTTGTTGTTGCTATTGTTATTCAAGGACTGCTGTCCTGTGTCACTGCAGTTAGCTTAAAGATGCTATTGTAAGCATTCACAAAGATTGTGGAGTGCATTCAGTGGACTTACTTCTGAATAAACATTCACAGAGTTGACAAGCTTAGTTTGTGCCTTTTAAAACATTTGACTACTGTTTGACAATAGCAGAAACACATAGGACCCCATAAAATACTTATATCATTTTTTTTGCATCCCACCTGAAATTCAAATCACTGTACATGTGGCCAGAGGTGGAGTTTAGTTACTTCCTAGAAGTCTACTATGTTGATCCAAAACCATGCTAATGTGTTCAAAAGAACAAGTAGAATACACCTCCTTAGCATTCTCATGATGTAAACTAGGCTGGGAAAAATACTCTAATTTTTTTAAAGTAAAAATATTTTTTCCTGAGTGTCATGAAACTATGAAAAGAAGAACACTATACTGATGTGAATCTTCATACTTTAGGATTTGAGGGTTGCCCAGAACAAGCCCTGACTGCAGTTTGTGTAGATTTTCTTACATATAGAAAGAAAATAGACAAAATTATTAATTGCTTCCTTTGAGATTAAAATTAGTGAAGAATTATGCCACTATGTAACCACTGCAGCTGTGTATCATCAAGATCAACCACAATGAACAGCACTCTAAACTCTTTTTCAAATCATGCATTTCATATTGAAAATGTCAGGTGGGTGAGAAGAAACCAAATAAAAAAGGACCAACAATATATAAACATCCAAACAGAAGTTTTGCAAACAAAGCATGGAATTCTTGATCTACCCTCGACAACATACCTGTTATTGTACCTTTTCCATAACATGTATCATTAAGAGTTTAAATTTATAGGATTGGCATTAGTTACCAGGCAACTTGAAGGTGCACAAAAGCACAAGAAGAAAACTGCCTATGGAATTTCCTTTTAGCCTTACCAACAATTGTTATTGGAATAGGGGAAAACTTTTAAACTTATTACCTGTGTACACTGTTCATGTTGACCTCTCTCCAGTGTACAACATCAGCATCACTTAGGGGCTAACTACATCCAGATCATACTGTACTTTGCACAAAACAGACTTTACTTCCCCAACCATCAATGTTCTTTCCCCCACTCTCCAAAAACTTTTTTTTTTGCAAAGCCTTGGGGAGAGCTATTACTGTTAGGGAAGGGGAAATGCTTGCTTTCTGTTCTCAGAGAGAGAAGCAATTAACTGTTTTCTTGGCAATGTATCTTAACAGAGATACATACTTCTCAGTGCTGAAAGACATCTTTATATATATATAAAGCATGAGAAAATCTGCAAATATTCTTTATTTCCCTAGTGCCAAGTGCTGGAAAAACTCAGGTTACCTCTCTAGTTCTATGCTTTATCTCTCAGGTCAACTTGAAATTGAAGTTGGTGTTATACGAAGAGGCTTTGTTTATCTGCACCATACAAAATCAGAGTTACTGAAGCATACCATAGCAGATCAACTCCAAGACCTAAATGCAGGATAGAAAAGTGTGTAGAATCTGATGTCCAATCCTGTGTGTGTGTGTGTTTTTTTAAAGAACAGCAAATCTAATAGAGAGCACAGGAAGATAAACATTTCTGGTATAAAATGAATCTTCATAGAGTAAAAGTACATTTCTTTTAACAAGTATGTAATGAGTATTTGTGTTTGGTTGTTTTTACAAAACATCAAGCAAGCTCTGTAAGCAACGCATTGTACCGGTAAATTGCTACAATGCACTGTGATTGCTATTCTTACTACTTGTGCATTAAATTCATGTATATAGCTTTATTGCTCAGTACATAAAAGCTGTCTACCAGTGCTACCTACACAGAGGTCTTTTCAAAGCTGTGCCATGTAGGCCAACAGCTACCACGGCAAAAGAAGAACAAATCATCCCTGTAAAATGCCAGCAATTAAGTCCTAGCTCTGTTTCACAAAACATCCATTTTTCTATTGTTCATTTCCATTCACAAAGATGGTGCAGCATGCAAGGTGTATTAGAAAGGGAATCACTGTTTCCCATTTCAAAAAACTAAAAGTTAATGTTATTTTTTCCCACAACAGATTGCATGTTTTTTGTTTATTCATGCAGAAAACATCATATTTAGGAATATTTGAATGGACACTGGCATCCACTCTAGCAAGAATGTAAAAATCCAAATCACAGAAACAAATGAATGTAAAAGCATGCTTGATCAGACCAGAGAGCCATCAATTCCATGATGAATACGTATATGACAAGGGGTGGTGTTGGAGGTTTTTGGGTCTTGAAGATATCTGGAATTTGAATAAAAGGAAATGCACAAGCAGCAACAAAAATATCATCATAGCACAGAATCTGTTCACTCATTGCTCCTTGCCCCAACTTTAATGTTAAAAAGCTGATCATTTCTTCCAAAGTTTACAATGTCCTGCTTTTTCCCAGAAACAACAGGTCAAAATTAAAGAGCACACACGATAGTTGCTGCACTCCCGAACAGGAATAACCCTCTGACTTTAAAACACCACACGTTGAGTAGGAAAACAATCCTTTTTTATTGGAGATAAGTAAAAACAAGAAGGTAAAAAAATGCTTTATAGATAAGTCCAAAAAGGTAGGAAGATAACCAGGAACAAAGTATTTCAAGGCAGGGTTCAGCAAAGTTCAAAAGCAAAGTCCAAACTTTTATAAACAAATCCACAGAGGCAAGGAAACATTAATCCACAGCATGAGTATATAATTCTGAGACAAAGATTCAAACCTATAACATGAATCTTCCAATCAAGGCTTCCATAGAAGAACACTAAGGACTAGGCAGGATTCTGAAATGATGCTTCATCTGACTAGAATTTCCCTGGTGAGAACTATATAGGCTTTTCCCTGCATCCAGAAATTGGTTTTGTTTTCCTTGACTGCCTCTCGCCCTTATCTCTCGAACCCTAGAAGAATGGCGAAAATCTTGGCTAAGCTGTCTATCTTGGCTGAATTCCAGCTGTCTGTCTATGTGCTCATTATCTATCTGCTCATTAGTTTTTCCAGGTGTCAAGTTGTTTTCAAACCTCAAATCTTGAGAGCTCTCTGGATCAGGGAGGAAACTAACATCCCTATATTCTGTAGGAACATTCTCATGGGAAACTACACTTTGAACCAGTGCCCCTATGTCATTCTCTGCATTAATATCATTGACAAAATCATTTCCATCTTGACCGTCAGTGACATCATCATTCCCCACATCAGAAGCACCTTGATCCTGAAACACAAACACTCTGAATTCCAACAATAGTTCCAGAATGTAGTCAATATGGCATATCAAATAGCTTCCATATCCCTAGTTTGCCAGGTCAATCATTATAGGGGTTCCTTATAATCCCAGGCTCAGCTACTGTTCAAGGTGTCTTGATCTGTTTTTTGTTTGTTCTCACATTGAGCATAGAAATCACTAGCCATGGCTAGATCTCTGCAGATGGAATTCTACGATCATTTATTTCTGACTACAATAAATGCAGATGAAATGAACACACCATCCATGTTCAGTTGCAGAAATAAGCCTCCTGTTGCTTATGAAGGAATAGGCATTCATCAAGGAACGTACAGGCACTTTAGGACTGTAGCTTTCCACAAATACCTCAGCACACTACCATCACCTCCTCTCCATTCCTCCAAGCAACTTACACTTATATGTTTTTTTTCTTCTTTTAGCATTTAGGTGTGAGTATGATTTCACAGCTCCCATGTGAAAAAGCTGTATTTTTAATTATTGAAACTGAAGAAGGAACTGCTCCAGAAAGTGAAAAAAATTACAAAACTTTGATTCTGTGAAACTTTGCATGTATGTACATAATTCACATGAACCCACCACACATTTTTTACTTTGGCAACATATATGAGGAATAACAAAAAAACCCAAACAAATGTCATGTATATGCAGCAGTGTCAACACTAGTTTCAAACTGTTTTCTATATTTGTTTACTGCTGATACATAAATATACAGTCAAAAGGACTCCCAAGAAGACTTACAACACACATAAAAGTCAAGTACCAATGAACAATGAATGGTAAGGACAGTCTCTCTGCCTTATGTTTTCATTCTCAAAAATTATCTGTGCAATAATCAGAGTCTTCACACATCTGAAGAAATCTTGAAATAGAAAGCATCTGCGGGTGCACTGAAAATATTGTACCTCTGTAACAGATACAGCAGATTCTGCACCATTTCAAAGATTAAAATAGGGATATGCTTATCATATTCTAGCCTTCTGCAAACAGTATTCAAAACTTTCCTCTGTCTATGGTATGTATCTATTCAGCAATCACTTGTCTTTGACTTT